CGACTTGTGCTCCTATCAGAGTTGAACAGTGACCCCACATGTGGGGACGGGGGGGCGAGGGGTCTGTGGATCCGCAGGGTTTGGCGATCCGTACACCTTTGGACAACAGCAATAACTCTTTAAGGCGAGGCGCAGATAACGGCGGGGTGGGGCAGCGGTGGATGAGGGTCGACCGTAATAACAGACAGGGGGGCTTATTCACGTTGCACACATGCTCAGCTTACACTGGGGGGGGGGGTGGGGGGGCAAATGGTCGGCTGCTCTCACATCCTTGATGGACTTTTAGAGAATACGGGAAGCTTTCCAACAGTGACACGTGGTCTAAGCCCACGTCTCTGAACGTGCGCGCGTGCGATTGGCACGTGAGTCCCTTTTTCCGTTCAGTGTTTTTGGGTAGAAGTGCCCAACCCAGATATGTGGGAATTAGGCCCCATCGCTCACTACCGTCCTACACTAATCAAAGTGCCGATTCTAGCAACAGACAGCTGCTGTCATGTGCCTTGATTCCAATGGCTATCTGCCCCTGAGGCCGCCCGGCTCCTCAGTAGGCCAGCTGAAGCTGTAGAGGGAGCGAGGGCCCCCCCACCCCCAACCCCACCGCCCGCTCATTCAAACTCCAGTTCGAGCTCTCCTCTGGTCCAGCATACGCCACAAACGCACTGATCCGAGGTAAGTCGACCTCCTTTTCTCCTCTTTCGCTTCGCTCGCGACGCCTCAGGATGCTAATTGAGGTTTTGCGTACATGAAATAACGTCGACGGGGGACGCCGGCTTTCGGTGTGACTTGTTGTCACCGAAACGGATTGTGTTTAAGACTTGACGCGGTAATTCACTGACAGGCTGGAGCGGGTTGTTTCAAATCGATAAGAGCGCGACGCGCATGATCCGTCACAAGTTTATGTGAGAAACATCTGCTCACTCGGACTCTTCTCCACCTCGCAGATCTGCGCTCGGTGCGCCGCAGCGATGGATTTGAACACGGTTGGTGGAGGTGCACCCGCTTGCCATGCTCCTCCATGTTTCAGTGCCTTCCATCGACTCAAGCAGCAGGGCACATTCTCCGAATGCCTTCTCGGTGGAACTTTGGGAGGTGACAATGGCTAAACGTACACACTCCTGAGTTATTGTCCGTTCGTCTATTCCTGGTTCAGGGCAGTTGGCCCGGGTGGGCCGGGGGTAGAAACAATAGCAACTGTTGCAGACCAACTGATGGACAGGCCGTCAGAGCCTTCGAGCCGGCAGGTGTAGCCGGCTTTCAGAACCCCCCCACGCATCGGGCTTACGATGTGAGAGGGGATTTTTAAAAATCTACGTCTGCGAGATCCGTTCAAGTCAATTGAAACGAATGAGAGAGAAAACGTAAACCGCCAACTGATGTATAAACAAACTAGAGTAGGACTCCCGGAGGAGAAACAGAATGTCTCACTTTGGAATGCAGCATTAGCATCAGCATTTGGCTAGCCGACTTAAACGCGAAATACCATTTTCAAATTGAATAAAGTATATTTTTGGTGGTCCGAAAAAAATGCTTTGCCACCCGCAAACTGAAAGTAAAATAAAATGCTGCGATGAGGATATTTGGATGGTAACCCTTGAGCTGGTGGGCACAGAGGAGAGGAGTGACGAACATTCGGGTTCTCTGGGAGCAGAGAGAGCTGTGGGTCATTACGGAGCAATTTGTAGCCCGTTTCTTTACCACATGGCTCGGGTGACTGGAGCCGTGGGAGAGTCGCCATGAAGACGGAAAGACAAGGCAGGTTCAAACAAAGCTTCGCATTGGAATAAGCGTCGCGGGGCTGCTCAGCGAAACAATACGTGGAACTGTGTTAGTTTGGAAAAAAAAATAAAAACAACTCGGCCAGCTTAGAAAACCAAATATATTCAAGAATTCAAGATCGGGGAGAGGTTTAACTCTCAAAACACACACTCACAAACACATATGCCGGGTTCGGGTCAGAGGTCAAATGGCCCTGAACTCTCCCTTTGGGCTGAGGACATCCGAGGTCCCTCTGTGCGCTGCTCTCTCATTTATTTTACCCATCATCCCTCACCAGGCCGGGATGACCCCGCGACCCCGCAGCTAGGTTTACCTGTCAGTGGACTGTCTATTCGCGAGCACGGGGCTTGACGCTGTGTCAACATTTGTTCTGAGGGAAATGAGGGAGTACGAAGAGAGGAGCTTGGTGCAGTGTGGTGTTAGACCAAAGCAACAAACAAAAAAAACACTTCATATCGAAATGATATGAAGTAGCCTTTTGTTTCCAGAATCCTCCTATGATAATTTCTGTTTACTCTAAAGGCGAAGATCCAAATGATCTCCGCAAACAGATGCCTGCATGGATACCTACAAAGACGGTCCCGAGCCCCCCCCCCCTCCCCCTCCCTCCGCAGCCCCCCTGTCAGCTATCAATCAGGGTGCCGTAAGTGGGATCCTTGAGCTGAGATGCTATCAGCGCTGCCCCGTATGCACTCACACCACAGTTTCCCTTATCTCCGCTCAGATAACAGATCCCCCTTCTAACGGCGAGAGGCCCGAGCCAGACATGCTTGCTCTCTGCATCGCTCTCCATCTCCGCCTCAGCTGGGCTGCAGGCCCCTTACTTTCAGACGGGGAAATGGGGGAGGGGGTCGGGGGGGGGGGGAGAAAAAAAAACAGTCAATTTGCTCTGGTTCCTGTTTAAAATTCAATAAGCTTGTCTCCCATATTGCAACCGTGTGGTGCCGGTGGAAGCTGCAGAGGGCACGTGCTGCTGCTGATCCCAATCTCCGATGTTATCGGCCCCCGCGAGCAACGCGATACACGTCTGCGTCGACGAATCTAGATGGGCATGAAATTGAACGAAAATCAGAAGCGTGACAAGTCAACAATTTCCTGCAACTGTACTATTTTTTTAAATTTGTTTTGCAAACATTGCAGACGCAGAAAAACTGATTTTCTTTTGAA